TCCACCTGAGCCTCTCTCTCGGACAACTTCACGGTGCCCGGGACTGGCTTGGTTACAGATTGCTTGCGTGCCCGCCCCCCAGCGTTGCTGCGCCAGGGTCACAGATCGCTGTCTGCTCAGGAAAACGCCCTCTGTGAGTCCCGCGGGCGGGCGTGGGTCTCCCAGGGTTGCGCCTTCCTGCATGGGTTTCCAGGAAAGGAAAACTGCATGCAAGTCCTTATAAAAGGCAACAGAAATACTGGAGCCCAAGCACTGTTCTGAGCATGCTCGCTGCACCCGTCCTGGTCTAACGATGATTCCTTGATGTGGGGGGTCACTGTCCCCAGGTCAGGCACAGGGAGGTGAGTCAGGCATCTCTCAAGGAGGAGGAGCCAAGATATGAGTCATAAATTCAGAGCCCTACGCAGGATGGTGAGGTCGGCTCTGTCTTTACCGGTGACTTGTAGAAAGCCAGCAACCAAACAGCACGGTCTTGTAGGGTAACTGCATTTTCATGTAAGCAGAGTAGGGTAAGGCCGAGAAAGAGCAGGTTCAGGGGAGTGGAAAACAGGTCCCAACGTTCCCATCCACTGTATGTGGGGATTGAACTCATACCCTTGCGCTTGTCAGGGAAGCGCTTATTCTACTGAGCCATCTCCCCAGCCCCTTCCATCTGCTGTAAAGAAGAGGACTGATGATATGGCAGGGCCAGCCCACGACAGTCCTTTCCAGTACGCCCACCATTAGGCTTTCTAAGTAAGGCTTCCATTGCCTGAGAAAAATCAGAATATTCTGTTGCAAATAACTGGCATAAACGCAAAACAGCTGCTGTGAGAGGGCCAACCTCCAGCTCCCAGAAAGGCTGGGATGACAATGACCACGTCGTTCCAACCGAGCTTTCTTGATCTCACGCTGACTGGAGAAGCTCCTCCCGTGGGCACTGTCCCCCGTCCTCTGTCCCACTGAGGGATGGTCATGAACCGCAAAGAGAAGGGATGGCATTCATTTAACCTGCTTTCATTCCAGTATGATTCTGGTCGTTCCTCACTCCATAGACGGAGCACAGCCCCTCCCAGAGGTTTCAAAATACTTGGAGCAGCCGGCTGCTGTCTCCTTGCCATTTGGATGGCACTAGATGGAGCCTGCCTCACTGACTGTCCTTTCCTAAGTCTCCACTTCTAGCCATTCTCTATACTCTGTGCTGCCCTGTTTTTCTGACTGATGACATTAATACATTTCAGTCTGGCTGCCTCTGGGTGCATACACTGCTGTTACGCTTCAAGATTTTGCATGTGCTTGATTCTGTATACATTGAGATCTCACTCAGCAGATAAACCTGTCTCTTTTCCAACACTGCAAATTACCACTCCTTCTTTTTCTCAGATATATATCTACATGTGTTTTATACCTATATAGGTATCATGGGGGCCTGCCCCTTAGCTCAGTTCTTTAAGTGGCTGCTTCACCAAAGCAGTCAGGCTCAGGTTGCTGTGGTTCAGTCCCTACAACTCAAGCCGGCCAAACCTGCCCTGAAGGCATTGGGAGAAAAAAAAAAAAATCCTTATATCTATGTAAGTATCACATATCACTGACAAGTAGGTAGAAAATAATTTCTTAAACCATTCCTACAAGTAGGATTCCTTCAGATTTTCCTCACCCTAGCAACCACCATTTATTTGGGAAACTTTGTTACTTATAAATGTTCAGGAAATATTGTGTTTCATGACCTAGTTTGTCAAACCAACAATTTCTTACTAGTTTTGTCGGCACAACATTGCTTGTCTTTGATCACTCTTTCCTTCACTCACTAAGGTGTTTATTAAGCACCTACTATGTACCAGGTACAATAGTAGGCATTGCAAAATCAATGATTAATAAATTGCCAAAGGCTCCAGGAGAGCTGGAGAGATAGCTCAGCAGCCTAAGCACCTGCCTGGTAAGCACAAGGTCCCAAGTTCAATCCCTGGTACCACCAAAAAAAAAAAAGAAAGACCCCAGATATCATGGTGCATTTGTTGTAGAAGAGAAGGACAAAATAAATAAAAAGGAAACAGCAAAAACCCAAAAGAAGAATCACTAGAGTCATTCCAAATCGTGACCTTGGCAGCTAGGGTTTCGCTTAGTGGTTAAATCCTTGATACTCAACACCCAAATTCTTGCTGCTCAAATCCAGCTCCCTACAAGTCAACCTGAGTTACATCCAAATTTGACACTTACATAAGCTACTTGTTCAGTTGCCTTGTCCTACGCAGTATGAAGTCTTTAGAGAAAAACCAAAGACTAAGACAAAAAGAAAAAATAACATAAACGGATGATCAGTAAGGATGTCACTGAATATGTGACGCTGGATTGCTCTGTTATCTAGGGATGAGCTTTACATGAAGAGAGACTGGGTTATGGAAAAGCGTAAAGCAGAGAGGAGTTTAGCAAATGCAGAGAATAAAGTTAGAAGCTGTGGCTTTGTGTGCAAATAGGAGGTGGCCCACAATTCCATCAGAAAGACCAGAGGCCCTGCAGAGAGGAGGGGGATTCTGTCTAATTTGCAGGCCAGAAGGAGATGCTGGGGTTTTATTTTCATGACAGTGAGAATCCCTTGATTATTCTTTAGAGAGGAAAGGAAATTATTTGTGAGCAATAATCTGTGAGAATATTGCTAGCAAGTGTAAAAAAAAAAAAAAAATATTGAGAGGACCAGCCAAATAGCTCAGCAGATTAAAGCGCCTGCTTAGGTAGATGTAGGGGCTGGGAGTTTGATCCCCAGGCCTGCTGTGCTGGCCCTGCCCCCAGGGTGTGCTGGCAATTGAGACTGGGTGTGGTGGCCGTGCACATATAATCCGCCTGTAATCTGAGGTTTTTTTTGGGAAAATCACTACAAGTCCAATTTGCACAGTGAGACCCTATAGACCCTGTAGATCCTGCCCTAAATACAAAAAAAAAAAAAAGATTGAGTAACAAAGACAGAAATAGGGTCCCTTGTATGGAAGCCATTGCTGTTGTCGTCCAGGACAGAGAAACATACTCTGGGCCAAGGTGATGACAGCGGGGGAAAGAAATGAGTTAGTTTGGGGTGATGGGATGAGGGGGATGAAAAGGCAGACTTCTGAGACCTGGCTGCAGACCGATGCAGTCATCAGGCAGCAGGGAGCAGAAGAGGAGGCATGCGCAAGGTCCGACTTCTGGCGGGCAGTGACGGTGGTTTGGCGTTTAGACAGGAAAGCTAGGTGGTTCCATTTGGTTAGATGGTTTGTAATTTTGTTAGACGATTTGCTGATTGGCTTGAGGGAACAGAGTCAAGGAATCAAGAGCTCTACCCTGAACATGCAGTATTCAGTTTGAAACATTTGAAGAGACATGGCAAGACGGTGGTCTGATGGAAGGCCAGAACCGGGAGGAGATTTTGGAAGGTGTAACTGTTTTCCTTTGGGTCGCTAGCTTTCAATAGTGTTTCAATCCATAGACTTGGATGGGATCACCCCAGGAAAGGAGAAAGGAGAAGGGGTCCAGAATCCAGCCCTGAGGCTCCCCTATGGGAGGTTGGACTGACAGGGAAGCCAGCACAGAAAGCAAAGAGCAACCAGGCAGCGTGGTGCGAGGAAAGCCGGGAGGGAAAAGTCTGAAAGGGAGCAAAAGCAGGAGCGTTTGAGGAGAGCTCAAAGCCAACGAGGAAAAGACCCAGAATGTCCCTGGGGTTGGCAAGGTGGAGCTGGGGCATCTTGGCAAGAGCTGTTTGTGTGGGGCAACAGGTGGAAACCAGATTGTAATGCCTGGGGGCGTGAAGAGAAGCTGAAGCTGTGGAGACGGACTGAGCCCTGGAAGGGGGAGAACTGAACCCATGAGGGGGATGGTGCTGTCTTATGGACGGCTGGTGAGCGGTCGGCCCTCACTCACCAGAACCGCCTTACCCTAGCCTTTGGGGCCAGGGCTTCAACATCGGGCTTAGACACCAGCCCCTGCCCTGGATGGGGAAGAACTCGGGGTGCTCCCTCTGCACCCCTCTTCCAGATCCTTGTCAACTCTCCAGCCTCATCTCTTTTTAGTGGCACTGGGGACTGAAGCTAGTGTGCGCTGGGCTACACCCCAGCCCTTTTCAATTTATTATGAGGAGGCGTCTTGCTGAGTTGCCCAGGCTGGACTGCAACTTGCAGTCCTCATATCCTCACCTCCCGAGTAACTGGGACGGCAGGCATGCACCACTACCCCGGGCTTTTTCTTCTCTTTCAAGAGGCTGGTTAAGAAAAGAAAAAGCATTTTACACCAGGAAAAAACAGCCAAATAGCCTCATCTCTGCTTGTACATCTCCAAAAATCAGTGGCCAAGAGGATTCTCTTTGATGGCTAGGATTTTCTCCTAGTCACACTCTCAACGTTGTCACCTCCCCAATATGTTCTCTGAGTACCCAGCTGAAGTTGGGATTGAATTTTTAAATTGTTTTTTTTTTCTTTTATCTCTGATTTA